CACACACACACACACTCACTCTCTCACACACACACACACACTCTCAAACACTCACACACACTCACACACACACACTCACTCTCACTTACACACACACACACACACTACTCTCTCTCACACACACACTCTCAAACACTCACACTCTCACACACACACACGCACACACTCTCAAACAAGCACTCACACACGCACTCACACACACACGCACACAAACACTCACTCACTCACTCACACACACACAAGCACTCACTCACACACACATGCACACGAACACGCACGCACGCACACACACACACACAAGCACTCACTCACACACATGCACACAAACACGAACACACACACACACACACACAAACGCACACACACACACACACCACAGTATCATTAACTTTGGTGCTTTCAGTCTGTCTGGCTGATTCTAAAGTGAGATCCAGCTGAGCACTCAGTCACTTCCTGTCAGGAGAGACCTAACTTCCTGTCCATCTCGTTTAGACGTGGTGTCTCCCAGCTGCAGCCCCACGGCCGTCGCCTGGCACCCTCATCAGAGCAGCACCATCGCATACGGTACGGCTTCATTTCCCACGATGCACTGCTCTGTCCCATGATGCTCTGCTGGTGTTGACGTGTGTGTCTGGTGTTAGGTGATGAACTGGGTCGAGTGACTCTGAGGGATCTGCAGACGTCGGACGGTGTACGGACGATAAATGCTCACAGCCGCCGCGTCTCCAGACTGACGTTCTCCTCCGACAGGTACGGAAGAAAACACTGCGATAGTTTTAAAAAGAGTGAATCAGCCTGTGAAGTTTTCCATATTGTAAAGTATGCTGGACTGTAAAGTACGCTGCATTGTAAAGTACACTAGACTTATTGTAAAGTACTCCGGATTGTAAAGTACGCCGCATTGTAAAGTACGCCAGACTTATTGTAAAGTACTCCGGATTGTAAAGTATGCCAGCTTATAAAGTAGGCCATATTGTAAAGTAAGCTGTATTGTAACATATGCCTGATTGTAAAGTATGCCAGCGTATAAAGTAGGTCATATTGTTAAGTAAGCTGTATTGTAAAGTACTCCGGATTGTAAAGTACACCAGATTGTATGCCGTATTGTAAAATAAGCTGTATTGTAAAGTACTCCGTGAGCCGGATAATGACTGGTGATTATTATGGGCTGTCACCTGCAGTTCACCCCTGCTGGCCTCTATCAGTGACGACTGCTCCGTTGCCGTGGTTACTGAAGAGCTCAGGGAAATGTGAGTATTGACACATGCCTCTCTCCTCATTGGCTGTCCTGCACCAGCCAATCAGAACACAGGAAATCCCCCCCCCCGAAGTACATGGAACTGACAATCATTGGAAACCGTTTTTGTGTCTTAAATATTTTAACACGTATATCTAATTTAATTACAAACAATTCAATAATAAACACACACATATTAAATATAATATTTAATAAGAATTGAATACATTTTGATTGAATGTATTGATAAAATGTTTAATTAGAAACGATACATATTTTATGGACAAAAGATGAAATATACATGTTGTTAATTTATATTTATAATACTTAAATCTTATATCAAATTAAATAAAATTGAAAGTTGTAGAAAAAATATTTGAAATTGTGCAATATTTTATACACACACACATATATGTATATATATATATATGTGTGTGTGTGTATTTATAGTTAATAAATTGATTCAATGTATTAAAATATTTAATTAGAAATTAAGATTTATATTGTTTAAAAATATTACATATATTAATACATTTATATAAAACATTTATACATGTATTATATAAATGTGCCTACAGTGTAATGAAATAATTAAAATAAAAAATCTAAAAAAAGTTATTAAAAACAAAAATTGTAAAAAAAAAAAAAAAAAAAAAAGTATGTATGCATGCATATAAAATATGTAGTCAAATTATTACAAAATATGATTTGTGTATCTTTTTATCTATAAACTTTTTTTATTGTTTAAACAGTTACAAAATACACAAACGCACACACACACACACACCACAGTATCATTAACTTTGGTGCTTTCAGTCTGTCTGGCTGATTCTAAAGTGAGATCCAGCTGAGCACTCAGTCACTTCCTGTCAGGAGAGACCTAACTTCCTGTCCATCTCGTTTAGACGTGGTGTCTCCCAGCTGCAGCCCCACGGCCGTCGCCTGGCACCCTCATCAGAGCAGCACCATCGCATACGGTACGGCTTCATTTCCCACGATGCACTGCTCTGTCCCATGATGCTCTGCTGGTGTTGACGTGTGTGTCTGGTGTTAGGTGATGAACTGGGTCGAGTGACTCTGAGGGATCTGCAGACGTCGGACGGTGTACGGACGATAAATGCTCACAGCCGCCGCGTCTCCAGACTGACGTTCTCCTCCGACAGGTACGGAAGAAAACACTGCGATAGTTTTAAAAAGAGTGAATCAGCCTGTGAAGTTTTCCATATTGTAAAGTATGCTGGACTGTAAAGTACGCTGCATTGTAAAGTACACTAGACTTATTGTAAAGTACTCCGGATTGTAAAGTACGCCAGACTTATTGTAAAGTACGCCGCATTGTAAAGTACGCCAGACTTATTGTAAAGTACTCCGGATTGTAAAGTATGCCAGCTTATAAAGTAGGCCATATTGTAAAGTAAGCTGTATTGTAACATATGCCTGATTGTAAAGTATGCCAGCGTATAAAGTAGGTCATATTGTTAAGTAAGCTGTATTGTAAAGTACTCCGGATTGTAAAGTACACCAGATTGTATGCCGTATTGTAAAATAAGCTGTATTGTAAAGTACTCCGTGAGCCGGATAATGACTGGTGATTATTATGGGCTGTCACCTGCAGTTCACCCCTGCTGGCCTCTATCAGTGACGACTGCTCCGTTGCCGTGGTTACTGAAGAGCTCAGGGAAATGTGAGTATTGACACATGCCTCTCTCCTCATTGGCTGTCCTGCACCAGCCAATCAGAACACAGGAAATCCCCCCCCCCGAAGTACATGGAACTGACAATCATTGGAAACCGTTTTTGTGTCTTAAATATTTTAACACGTATATCTAATTTAATTACAAACAATTCAATAATAAACACACACATATTAAATATAATATTTAATAAGAATTGAATACATTTTGATTGAATGTATTGATAAAATGTTTAATTAGAAACGATACATATTTTATGGACAAAAGATGAAATATACATGTTGTTAATTTATATTTATAATACTTAAATCTTATATCAAATTAAATAAAATTGAAAGTTGTAGAAAAAATATTTGAAATTGTGCAATATTTTATACACACACACATATATGTATATATATATATATGTGTGTGTGTGTATTTATAGTTAATAAATTGATTCAATGTATTAAAATATTTAATTAGAAATTAAGATTTATATTGTTTAAAAATATTACATATATTAATATTTATATAAAACATTTATACATGTATTATATAAATGTGCCTACAGTGTAATGAAATAATTAAAATAAAAAATCTAAAAAAAGTTATTAAAAACAAAAATTGTAAAAAAAAAAAAAAAAAAAAAAGTATGTATGCATGCATATAAAATATGTAGTCAAATTATTACAAAATATGATTTGTGTATCTTTTTATCTATAAACTTTTTTTATTGTTTAAACAGTTACAAAATTATTTAAAGCACCTTAACATTAACATTTAATTGAAGTGCATTTATATCTCAGAGCGGCGATCTGAGTCTG